CAGAACCTTGAAAACTCAGAGAAAAGTTAGAGATCCTTTCTTAAAAAATTCATTAAAAAAAAAAGATTGGAGAAAGGAAAGGATATTTGCCCACACCACTTTTATTTCACATCGTACTGGAGGTTCTAACCAATGCAACTAACCAAGGATAGAAAGACAAAAAGACAAAAGGCATATCGACTGAAAAAAATAAATAAATAAAACTGTTTTTATTGGCATGCAACTTGATTGTGTATATAAAAATCCTATGAAATCTATAAAAAAGCAATTAGAAACATGTGAGTTTCACTAGTTAATAGTATACAAGTAAATATACAAAAATCAGTAAATCAACATGACTCTTTAAAATAGTAATAAACAATGAGAAATAAAAATTTTAAAACCACTCACAATAGCACCAAAAGACATGAAATATTTAAGGATACATTTAACAAAATACATGGAACACATGTACATAAAAAACTAGACAGCACTATTGAGAGAAATCAAAGGAGGCCTAAAGAGACATACCATGACTGTGCATTAAAAGTCTTAACATTGTTAAGGTATCAATTCTAAGCTGATCTATGTAATCTCACTCAAAATCCCAAAAGGTACACACTAATAAACTGACTGCCCTGCAGATGCTGTCCTGGACCTGCCAGCAGCACAGATGCAGATGCTCTGCTATGCCTGTAACATCAGGGCAAAGTGAAAGTGGCTATTTCTACACTCAGTGTTCAGAAAACAGTGAACAACAAGAATGGATAATAGCCTGACATTTCTTAGGGGAAAAACAACAACAAAAAAAAAACTGAGTCTAACATTTATATGGAATTGCAAAGGACCTAGAACAATTTTGAGAACACAGTTGAAGGACTTATACCACCTGATAATTTTAAGACTTACTATAAAGTTACAGAAATCAAGAGTGTGTCATGAGTGAGAGGACAGATACCTAGATCAGTGGAACAGAATAGATTCTAGATAGATTCACATGCTATATACACGGCTGACAGGTTTTTAACAATGGTGGCAAAGTAATTCAATGGGGAAAGGATAATCTTTTTAACAAACGGTGCTGAAAAACTAGATATACATATTTTTTAAATAAACCTTGACATTTACCTTCCACCATACAGAAAAACTAAATGAAAATGGATCATAGATTTAAATATAAAAGCTAAAATTATAAAACTCCTAGAAAATAACACAGGAGAAAATCTTTGTGATCTTAGGATGAACATATATTTTGTTGACATGCAACACAACTGTATACATAAAAAATCATGAAATGATACACAAGAAGCATAAATCATAAAAAAAGTAAACTAAATTTCATCAAAATTAAAACTCTCTGCTCTTCAAAGACATCATTAAGAAAATGACAAGGTAAGCCACATACTAAGATAAAATAGTCACAACACATATATTTAACAAATTCAGTATCCAGAATATATAAATAACTTACAAATCAATAAAAAGAGTTAAGGGGCAGATTATTTCAACCAAGCCTTTATCAAATAAAATATATAAGTAACAAATAAAAATATCAAAACACAGGAGACATCACTAGTCACAGGAACATGCAAATTAAAACCATCATGAGATACCACTACTACACATCGGTTAGAATGGCTAAAATTAAGAAGAATGAAAATACTAAGTGTTAGAAGGGTGTGGCAAAAGTGGGACTCTCACAATGCAAAATGGTTCAGTCATTTGAAAAACTGTATGGCAGGTTCTTATAGTTACATTTACCGTATGACCAGCAATTCCACTCCACCCAAGAGAAATGAAAACATATGGTTACATAAAGATCTGTGAACCCATGTTCATAATAGCTTTACTGATAATAAAAAAACTGGACACAGTCCAGTTGTCCATTAATAAGCAAAGGGATATACAAATTGTGGCATGGCTATAAAGCAGAACACTGCTTGGCAATAAAAAATAAATGCACTGGCCAGGCACGGTGGCTCGTGCCTGTAATCCCAGCACTTTGGGAGGCAGAGGTGGGTGGATCACAAGGTCAGGAGTTTGAGACTAGCCTGGCCAATATGGTGAAACCCCGTCTCTAATAAAAATACAAAAATTAGCCCGGCATGGTGGTGGGTACCTGTAGTCCCAGCTACTCGGGAGGCTGAGGCGATTCGCTTGAACCTGGAAGGCTGAGGTTACAGTGAGCTGAGATCATGCCATTGCACTCCAGCCTGGCCGACACAGAGACTCTGTCTCAAATAAATAATAAATAAATAAATAAAATAAAAAATAAATGCACTACTGGTAAAAGCAACATGGAAAAATCTCAAAAGTATGCTAAGTGACAGAGGCCGTATGTAAAAGGCTACATACTATACAATTTGTGTAATTTCATTTATGTGACAGTATAGAAAAGGTAAAATTATAGGGACAAAAAAAGAGATCAGTGTTTCCTAAGGTCTTAGAGTAAAAGACGGAATATACAGCAAAGGGGCATTGGAACTTTCGCTGATGAAGGAAATGTTCTACATTTCAATTAGAGCAATGGCTAAATGACAATATACATTTGTCAAAATTCACCTAACTATACACTTTTAAAGGATGTATTACATTGTAAGTAAATTATACCTCAATAAAAAGGGCACACACAAAAAGTGACATGCCATTGAATATAAGGAAACTATACAAAAATCAGTTGTATTTTTCTATACAAGCAACTAATAAAAACTGACATTTTTAGAACAAAACATCATGTACAACTGCATCAAAAATATCAAAGAATAACTCTTTAAAAAGATGTATGAGATCTTCACACTGAAAACTGCAAAACATTGATAAAAATCAAAGACGAAAAAAGGGATAAACTCTATTCATGAATTGGAAGACTCAAATACTGTACAGATATCAACTATCCCAAAATTGATCTATAAATTCAATATAATCCCAATTTAAAAACTTATATGGAAATGCAAAATGCCTAGAAAAAACAAGGCAACCTCAATAAACGAAACTGGAAGAACTATATTACCAGACAGCAAGACCTATCATAAATTACTTATAAAGTACTTAAGACACACATTATTTATCCTGCACAAGGGTAAATAATAGCCCAATGGAATGAAACAATGTCCAGGCCTACACATGTACAATTAGCTGATTCTGAGTCAAGACTTCTGGCAATTCAGTGGGAGAAGGGATGGCACGTCCATAAGTGGTACTGCACCAATTGGTTATTCATATGGGAAAAAAAAAGACAATCTTGTCCTCTACCTCACAACACATGCTAAAATCAATTCCAGATAAACTGTACATCAAAATTTAGGAGAAAGAACAATAAAATTTTAAAAGAAAATAAGAGACGATCCACATGATCTTGAAGTAGGCTAAGGCAAAGCACTGATACAAAGGAAAAATGTAATGAATTGGACTATTTTAAGAACTTCTACTCTTCAAATGATGCCATTAAGAGAGTGAAAAGGTGAAATTAGAAATATACATACATACAGCAAAAGATTTTTATCCAGGAAATTTCAGTTACTCCCACAAATAAGAATAAAAATAGACCCACAGCACAGAAGAATTGGACATAGATTTAAACAGGTATTTCACCAAAGAGGATATCCAGATGGCCAACAAGCATATAAAAATGTGCTGAACATTGTCATTAAGGAAATGCAAATTAAAACAAAAAAGTACTACCATGGACCCGCCAGAATGGCTAAAATGGAGAGTTAACAATGGTGATGTTGTAAAGGGTGCAGAATAACTGACACCCTCATATCTTCCTGATGAAAGTGTACACGACTACTGAATTTGGGGCTGTATCCATTAAAGCTGAACATCTGCAAATATATAACACCAATTCCATTCCTGTATATATATATATCCAACAGCAACATGCACCTATGTGCACCAAAAGATATATAAAAGAATTATTCATAGCAGCATTATTGTTAATAGAGAAAAAGTGGGAAAAAAGTGAAATGTTTACTAAACACTCAGTGGATAAGATGATACGTTTATACAATGGAATACCAGATAGCAACAAAAATGAAAAAAATCACGACCATATAAAAAAACATGAATTAATCTTATAATGTTGCACAAATGAGGGCAGGCACAAAAGAATACATAAGCTATTGTCCCATTTATTTAAAGATCAAACATAGGCAAAATGAACATATGGGGTTAGAAGTCAAGATAGTGGTCAAATGTGAGAATGAAGTAGTGAATGGGAGGAGGCAGACAGGGCTTTTCGGATGCTGGTAGTGATCTCAGTAGGGGCTACAATGACATTTCACTTTAGGAAATTTACTTTGTGATAATTCACCAAACAATATACTTAAAATTTGTGTGTTTTAATGTTTGCATGTTATTCTACAAGTTTTTAAAAATTAGACAATTCTATATGTTAACAGAAAGAACTCCAATATATGTGTGTGGTTTAATGAAAACAAACAACCATTAAATAGTGCACTACACAGAATACTACCATTTTGTAAAAACAGTAATGAAAAGGATATATGTTTGTGTACTATAATCATAATGGCAACATTTACTGAAAGCTAACTACTTGCTAAGGTACTGTGCTAGGCACTTTTCATGCCTTTTATCATTTATTCCACTCCACATTATGAAGTAGGTAGTATTATAACCCTTATTTTATGAATGAGAAAACTGAGGTACAGAGATATCAAGTAACATGCCCATGGTCACCAAGCCATAAAGCTGAAAAACGGGCACTGTAACCCAGGCTCTCCAGATCCACTCTTCCCCACCACACTCTCCCTAGATAGGCACATGAGAAACTGGCAATGGGGTGCCTCTGAGAAGGGATCTGGGGATTAGAAGGCAGGCTGAGAGGAAGGCTGGCTTATCATAGCATACTCTAGGTACCTTTTGAAGGAATACATTTGCATGTCTTATCTATTATCTAAAAAGTACTTATTTACAATATTTTTCTATGGTCTATAATTTCTGATTTATACAAAATTGCTTTATCCACAAGGTAAGCATAACTCACTGTTTTATTACTTTACCTGATTTAGGATGCAAAGCATCACACTGGGCATTGTACATGTGTACAAATTCTTGGTGCCTTTTAATGAGCTGTTGTTTATTTCCTTGAATAGATAATCCATGCTCTTTTAGCTTTTTCTTTAAATCACGATCAGAGAGCAAATTATATACAGTTTTGGGCAGCGGTTTCCTTTTGTGAACAGAACTGAAAAGGGGGGAAGATCCCTGATGATTATTGTGAATTATCAAATGCTTTTCATGTAAAATAGCAAACACATTCTGATTGAACAACTGGGTACCTGGAAAAATAGTAGAACCATTAGATTAAAAAAGGGAGAGAAAAATCAAGTTTGCAGATAAAGCTGAGTGTCTGACATGATGCATCTCAGGTGCTGGTGAGATATTCAGACACAGGGGCCTAGGTGCCACCAGAAGTGAGAGACTTGGGTCTCAAAAAGATGTCAGACCTAAAGAGGCACACTAAGAAGACAGATATGTAAGGCTTGTGGAATATGCTATGAGGACTTCATCTAGAATCACACTTACACAGACCTACTCAATTTTCCACCTCTTTAAAGCATGCTAGAAATTCTGATGGGCTAAAATTCAAGCTACCTAAAAGTACCAATGACTTGAGACAATTCCATAAACAGGAACTTTTTAGTGAGTTTTAATTCATTTTATCTGATTATAGCAGGTTCTCTACCTGGCTCAGCTTTATGGCAATTAGATGCTCAACAAAAATGTGCTCAAGGAGGTCATTACACTTGCTATCATTTCAAAATAAGAACAGCAAAGATTCAGGTGAAAATTAACAGAAACTTGAAATAATAGGTTTATCAAAAAAACAAGTTTTTACAAAGGATTAGCATATAACTAGCTCACACAAGGCTGTCCCAAACATTAGTGTACCTAAGAAGCACCTAAAGAGTTCATTTAAAATGCAGATTCTCCATCCCCTTCTCCACCCCGTCCACCAATTGTGGTTCGGTCTGAAGTGGAGATCTAAAATCTCTATTTTCAACAAGGTTCTCCAGAGTAAATCTGATATAAACTATCCGATAATCAAATAGAGAAATATTACAGTCAGGTATAGACTGAAAACAATCAAAAATTTCTCTATTAACCAACAGGGCCATTCCCCAAATAAATTATGTCTTTCATGCTGTATTAATGAAGTCTAAAAGCCAGAAATAACTAATTAAATGTGAAAAGACCTGCAAACTCTCGATAGATTATATTTTTCTGAAAATTGCTCTTCTTACAATGACAGTCCATCAGACTCTACAAGACTGATAAAATTACAGCAAAATGAAATCTCAGTAGGTAGCAACAGCTGAATCATTTTGTGTTTACAGAAGCACACAGGGAGAGATGATTCATTAAGTCTGTATCTAAAACATTTGTTTTATCAAGGATAGATGATTAAACTATGACTGTGAAATTCTAGTGAGGAACTGTACTGTTCATTGGCATTTACAATAAAAAGCACCACTAGAGATCAATTTCTATCAGGAATTTTAAAACATGAAACCCAATAAATGTTTCCCCAAACACGAAAATGACATTGATTTTTCTTCCGTGATTTAGTGGAACTGAGTAACACATTTAAGGGGCCTCAGAATCTGAGGACATCAAAGGAAGGGTGCATCTGCGATCAGTTCTGACATGGTTTTATATAGAAAGGTTAAGGGCTGCCACTCACATTCAGCAGATGGCCTGTCAGAATATTGTGGAGGAGATAGGAAAACTCACAGGGCCTCTTCTCTATGACCCGACTCTGGGGCCAGGATACAGCTAAAGAACAACATGGCCCAGTGTTGCCTTCAGTATCTCCACAAACACCAGTTTTGTAAGATGGAAATGATGAGGACAGAAAGGCTTGGCAGTCAAATAAATTTAGGAATTACTGAATTAAACAAAACCTAACAGTTACGCTTAATGTAGGACTTCTCAAAGCCTTTAATACACTAAGAGGGGGATCCAGGAGATGGTGCTTGTAAGTTCACTACAGAGCACTGGCAGGACTATACCATTCTTTGAAGCAGGAATTTAAACCACTATTAGAACTTAATTACACATGGACGAGTATGTCTTTAAATAAACTGACAGCATCAAAAATGATGTATCAGAAATGTATTCGAACTGATGGATGGATCTAGAAAAAGGGGAGTCCAGGCAAGATAATCAGCGCAGATTCCTTATTCTTCAAAGAATATACTCAGCTTCTATATTCCCAACTCATGCATTTCTAAAGAGAAAAGCAGGTCATCAAACTCTCGTGGCTTATGGGAAATAACCCTTAGGACTATTTATTTACTCCAAATCGCCACTAACTAAGCAACCTAAAAATCTAAATTTTATTCTCATCAACAAACTTACCCACTAGGTGGGAGTATTGTGCATGCAAAACTGCCCCAGGTTTGGACTCAAATATGTCTACCATTTTTAATAAAGCAACACTGTGTTTTATATGTTAGCTTTTGTAAGTTATAACAGTATGAATTTGACCCTCAAAATCTGCATTCACTCCAAATTTACTCATAAAAATTAAGTGATGTATTTTCTTTAATCACAAAAAATAATACTATGGCTCTGTCTTATTAACGTGGTTTTTGGAAAATACTCTTCAAAGTCCTTCAAAACAGACTGAACATAGAAGCAAATCATTCTTTCATCCCCACTTCCCAAATACCATTAATTTCTTCAGCTTCCCTCCTCTTCTTTTCCAAATCTCTCTGAATTGTCACCTATTATCTTCCCCTTGCCTCCTGTTTCAGAAGGGTCCTTTCTGCATATCAAGGATAACCTCATTACTGGGCTCTTGTGCTCCTCACTTTCTTCCATTTATCCTCTGCTCTCTCCCTGGAAATAGTGGAAGGAAAGAGACTGAAGGCTTAAACTCCTATTTTTAAAAATAACATCCCTTGATCTTTATGCCACTCACTCCTTCTCCAAACTACCATCTCATCTTTATCCCTTCATCACCAGACTCATCTAAATTGTGTCTTCTGTTTATTATCCACTGATTCCTTAATGCCTTGCAATTTGACTAGTATTTCATTCCTGAACAACTAATATGTCTAACAATAGTGGACTAGTATAAGAAATTACAGTTATTTTCATGTACAAAGGAGGTAGAATAGCACAGTTGTTTAGATGCAAATATTGAGCTGACAATTTATTAGTAACAATACCTGGATGGTGTGGGTGTGGGGTGGGGTATGACATTACATTTCATATATGCATTTTTGTACCTTTTTATATCATATATATTTATATAATTTCCTAGTCAAAAATTTTTGAAAAATTCAATTTTAAATTTTAAAACTTCTGAGCATCCTAAAGATCAGAGACAGATTTTCTATATTCTATATTCAGAGTCTAATCTTGCTTTCTTTGGCCAAGAAGCTTTTTAGTAGTTTTAAAATTCTAAGAGAAAAAAACAAGTTTAAAAAGAATTGAATTTGAAGTCATTAATTTCTTATTAAGTCAAAATGTAGTAGCAGTTCAAATATTCAACATAGCTAATCATATCTGGCAAAGTGGGAGTTGAAGAAAGAACAGAGAGGGATTGGAAGAAGTGGCCAACAGGAGTGAAGGAGAAAGCAAGTAAGAGCAGGAAATACGGTTACCAGGATAAAATGAATACTGTAATTTTCCCCCAAGTTTATAAAGCACAAGAGGCACTCAGCTAAAGTAGCTCAATGGTTCTGCTCAACGTCCTTACCTTCTGAGGCTTTCCTTCTTCTCTTCGCGTGATAAACAGCCGTCTAAATGCTTATTAATGTGACTTTCTGGAATATTAACCCCACAAACAGGACAATCCACTGTATTTTTTAAAAAGAAAAAGAGAGTATTAATTGTAGAAGGGGAAAAAGTATGTAAACTGGCATCTTTTCAGCAAGTAAAGTAAAAAAGAATCCCAACTTAACATGCACTTAGAAAAGCAGAAAAGAAAAAGAACGGCCCGTCGGGACAACAGGAGTGGGACAGACTGGTTACTGGGTAATGGCTAAATTGTGGGAAGTCACACAATTGAAGTCCTGGTCCCAGAGAAAGAGACTGCAAATAAGCTTGAAAGTTTGTTTATTAGAAAATGCTTCAGTTAAATCTTTTCTAACAAGGTATGACCAAACTATAGAACTAATCTTAAATTTTCCCAAGCCTTAGGAGCTATCCATGTTTAGCATAGAAGCAATAGTAACAACTTAAGACACACCTGGCCCAGGGGCTGGGTGAAGGAAAGGTAGTTTAGTAATTTATTGAGTTGGGCCAACTACTGTTCAATTTTGTCAATTAAACAAATTTGTTAATTTAGCTCTCGTTTATAATTCTATACATAATGTTAAAAGTAAGGAACACAATCATTCTCAAACTATTTCATAAAGTTGCAGGGATCTGTGGGGGTAATTCGGGCCTACAGACTTCCATGGATAATAGGCAGAAGGAGGTCAGGTGAAACAGAACAATCTGTTTTATCTATTTTAATATGTTATGGTTTATTGTAAAATTTCATTTGGGAAAAAAGGTTCTGCTAGGGGAAAAACAGTTAACCATCAAGCTAAAAAATACTACAATAAGAACTGTCAATTGGTAAAAAGACTAAGGATAGACATAGTAGAAAATATAAGTGTAATTTATATATCTTTAAAAGATGTAAACACGTTAAGTACTAATAAACTAATTTCAATCTAAGTTTAATAAACACTCACATCTCTGCACTGTGTGTGGTATGGGTATACCAAAGATGTCTAAGAGTTTCTGCCTAAAAGGTGCTCTAAACTTCACTGGAAAGAAGACACAGAAACAAAAGGTTAAACAAGCTGACATATCCATCAAACAGTTAAGCAAATGGGACACAAAACACTCTAGAAAACAAGTGCTATAGCACTTTTGTGACGTGAGACAGTGTTTTCTAACATAACAAATGAATAGTGAGGATCTGGATAGTCTGTAAAGGTATAGAACAGGGACCGGCAAACATTCTTAGTGAAGGGCCAGGTAGTGAAGAGCCAGGTAGAATTTAGACTTTACAGATCATATGGCCTCTGTCACAACCATGCAACTCTGCCACTGTAGCATGAAAGCAGCCACAGACATATGCAAACAAATGGGTACGTGAACTTTTATTTACAAAAACAAGTGGCAAGCCAGATTAGCTCTGCCAGTTGTAGTTTGCCAATTCCTCAATGTACTGGAGGAACAGTGGGGATATCAGCTTGGCTAGAGCAGGACTTCTGAGAGGGAGAGGTGAGCAATAAAGTGGGATGACTAGAGTAGGGCTCAAATTGTCAAAGGCTTTACATGGCAGGTAGAATAGTGAGGAGGCATTCAAGTGGTGGTAAAATAAGATAAAAAGAGCTCTTCAAGATTAAATGGCAACAGATATGCTGAATGGGCGGAAGAAGGATTAAAAGCTGAAAACAGAAAGCTACTGCCATACTGAAAGCCTGAACTAATTAAAACTGTTTCCTTTTTGTAGCAGTCAGCCTGAATTCCTATTTCTGAGAGAGAAAGAGAACAAACATACCTACAACAATGTCTGAGGTTTGTGATACAGTAAAATCTTGTTTGTCCTTTACCATTCCTTCCCCCTCAAAGATGCTGCCTATTTATTCTTACGTCGTGTGGATGAAAAGATTTCCATATTTCCACATATGAAAATAACCTCCTACCTTTAGTAATGTGTTTCAAAGTGGATGTTGAGGGTGTCTCAGGACGCTTAACCTCTGAGGGATCTGGAGCCATCTCTTCTACAGAACGTGTCTCTTTGGTCTTTGCAGCAGGGCTTGCCTCTTTTTGAGGGGTGAATTTGCTTTTATTTTCTTTTATCAACAACTCTGATGTAGAACCACTCATTTCTCTGATCAAGAAATTATCCATTAACCTGCTCCCCTGCTTTAAAGACTGTCTGGAGGCTACAGGAGTACATACTTTGACAGCAAGATTCTTTGAAGAGGAAGAAGCAGGAGATTTGGGTGGTGACTCTAAAGCAAGCTGCAATAGATGATTCCTTGAAGAACAAAAAACACAACAGATGATTAAGATATCCAATTGTATACAATAAATTAACTGACATAAGCTGTTTTCCCAATTAACCTTGTTTTCTGAAATACAGGACCTATACTATAATGACAACCAAACCAACGTTTCTTCTAGTATAACTCAAAGCAATAAATCTAACTTAAAAAGCAGTTAATGTGTCAATAAAACAAAATGAAACGAAATCAGCTTTCGGCCACAGAGAATAGCTTATATGAGACCTAATTTCCAACCATAAGTAACTTTAAAATCTGAACAAAATATAGGGATATAGTCTGGATGTTGTCTCCACCAAATCTCACATTGAAATGGGATTCCCAGTGTTGGCGGTGGGACCTAGTGGAAGGTGACTGTATCATGAGGGTGAATTTCTCATGAATGGTTTAGCACCATTCCCTTACTGCTGTCCTTGTAATAGTGAGTGAGTTCTCATGAGATCTGTTTTAAAAGTGTGCGGCACCTCCCCTCCTCTCTCTCTTGCTCTCACTATGTAATATGCTGCCCCTGTCTTTTGTTTTCCACTGTGATTGTAAGCAGCCCAAGACCTCACTAGAAGCCAAGCACATGGTTTGTACAGCTGCAGAACCATGAGCCAATTAAACCTCTTTTCTTTGTAAATTACCCAGCCTCAAGTTTACTTTAGCATTCTTTACATTACTTAGCAATGTAAGAACGGCCTAACACACATAAAAAACAACTCTTTGTAGGCACTGGACTGAAATCAACACAAGGCTGCAATGCCTGAAAAAGAAAACATGAAGTAATCCAACATTTCCTCCAAGACTTTACCCTGGAAACATTTTCTAGGAATTGGGTATTAATGTGAAGTCTAAACAGGAAACATTGATCTTACTTGGTAGAGAAAATAAGAGATCAGAGTTCTGGGCAAAGCTGGCCAGGACTGAGGGGTCAGAATGCTTTGACATGCGGCAGCTACTGAAAGGGAATGCCAGAAGTCTGCTTAGAAATTCACATCCATTCCTGCTCATCTCCAGGGCTGCATATGATTAGACAAAAACACAGGAGACCCACTAGGAGGCTGATACTGGTAAATTAAAATCCCAAAGGTCATTGCTGGAAAGTTAGTTGTTCTCAGCCAAAGCTGAGAAATCTTGGCGAAGATCATGGACATTCAAGTGAGATCCCACAAAGGCCACACCTTAGAAAAATGGACCACACTGAAGAAATATAAACAAAGCTCAAACAGACCTAACCTAAGAAAACATTATACCAGGCCTTGAAAGAACAAAGATGAAGAGCTAGTGATTCAACTGCCTGTTAGAACAAAATGTGTCATCTTTCAAAAGAAGACAATTCACAGCTTCTACAACATTTCAACCACAATGTTCAGCACACATTTTAAAATTACTGAACATGCAAAGAAGCAAGAAAAAGTAGCCACTAATCAAGAGATAAAATATTCAATAGAAGCAGACCCAAAGGTAATCCAAAGAATAGCATTTCTAGGTAAGGACTTCAAACTATGATAAACATGTTAAATAAAAAAAAAAAAAGAAAGAAAAAGAAAAAGGATAAAAAGATAGCGCATTATGACAAATAAAATCCATTAAGAAAAGAATAAAATGAACCTTCTACAATTGCAAAATACCTTATCTAAACTGGATGAGTATAACAACACACAATACAAACTTGAAGGCAGGTCAATAGAAAATATCCAAACTAAGCACAGAGAGAAAAATTAATGAAAAAGACAGACACAAAAAAGTATGAGATATTGGGCATAAGTAGAAGCCCAGAGGAATAGAAAGAAAGAATGGAAAATCAGCAATACTAGAAAAATCAATGGCTGAGAATTTTCAAATCTGATGGAAAAAAAAAATCAACCCATAGATTCCACCACTACAGAATTTACATGAAACTCAACAACAGAAAGATAACTAGAAAATCTCCAAATGTTAAGAAATAAAGCACCACACTTCTAAATAACCCCACATGTCAAATCACAATGAAAACTAGAAAATATTCTAAACTGAATGATAGCATGAAAGGTTGCCAAAACTGTCCCTGGAGGGAAAATTATTGAAAATAGAAAAAGTAAAAGCCACTACTCTAAGCTTCCAACTTAAAAGGTTAGGAAATGAACAGCAAACTAAACCCAAAGAAGGGAGGAACTAATAAGAGATACTAGTGAAATAGAAGAGATATCAGGAGAAAACAAGCAAAGCCAAATGTTGGTTCTTTGAAAAAAATAACAAAATTATTAATCCCTACTAAGACCGAACATGAAATAAATGAGAAAATACAAATTACCAAAACAAAGAATTAAAAGACCTAATTACAAATCCTATAGAAAAGATAATTAGAGGACATTACAAACACTTTAAAACAACAAATTTTAAATTTTAGATAAAATGGACAAATTCTTTGAAAGGCACTATTCATCAAAACTAACAAAGAAACAGAAAACCTGAAGAGCCCTTATTATCTATTAAATAAACTGAAGCTATAATTTAAAACTTTTCCACAAAGAAAACTCCAAGCCCAGATGGCTTTACTGGTAAATTCTACCACATATTTAAGGAAGTTTGTTTATATTTCTTCAGTGTGGACATGGTGGCACATGCCCATAGTCCTAGCTAATTAGGAGGCAGAGGCAGGAGAATCCCTTGAGCCCAAGAGTTTGAGGTTACAGTGAACCATGATCATACCACTGCACTGCAGTCTGGGCAACAGAGCAAGAAGAAGGGAGGAAAGGGAGGAAGGGAAGGAAGGGGAGGGAGGAATAGAGGGGGGGAAGGAGGAATAGCGTGGGGAAGGAAAAAGGAGGTGGGAGGGAGAAAGGAAAGGAGGGAGGGAGAAAGGAAAGGAGGAAGGGAGGGAGGGAGGAAGGGAGGGAGGGAGGGAGGGAAGGAGGGAGGAAGGAAGGAAGGAAGGAAGGAAGGAAGGAAGGAAGGAAGGAAGGAAGGAAGGAAGGTCTTGTCCATCTGTGAACTATACAATAACCTTCCCTCTTCAGAATGGGGCTAAGAATCAAGAGTCAAAATAGGCCTTTGGGTAGACATGAGTAGCCATTAAACCTATGCAATCAATTCCATAGACTTCTGTAACTAAAGTCCCCGCAATGCTAGTTCTGATCAGAAACATGTAAACAGCAGTCTAGAACCATTTGGCTACACAAGCAGAGGCCCACCCAAACACAAATTCTTTTTATAGCATCTTAGGATATCAACACTATTGAAAATATAGGCAATATATAATAATAATAATAATAGGAATATTTTTAGGTTCCTTTGTTCTAGGTATTATGCTAGATATCTTTTACTATAGCTCTTCATTTCTAATCCTCAAGGCATCGACAGTATTATTCTCATCTTTTTAGATGAGGAAACAGAAGTCAAAGAGATTAAACATCTTGATCACAATCACATTAGAACTAATAGGGCCTAGACCAATGCCCAGTTCTGCCTGAATTCAACATCAGTATGCTTTAAACTGTACAATAAAAAAGGTAAAATTATATTCTACTTCCTCTTTGTGAGTTGCTGAGGGAATTTTACTTCAATTGTCATCTAAAATGTTTAAATTCTTAAACTTGGAGTATTTGCAGAAAAATTTATCCCTTAATGGTGGATAAACAAAAGCAGTAAATGATGCTCTCTACTCTCAATTTGTAAAAATAATAAGAGATGGACACTGACTACAAAAACAGAGAAACAGCATTCACTTAAGTCAAGAATGATGCTACACTTACACAAAAATATTCTAATAAATGTTCAACAACAGGTTAAGAACATTATTTTAAATAAAACTAAGTCGAGGAAAAAATCATGTGTTCTTTGAAAATAAAAGTAAAAGATCAGATGAAAATGTAAGAGCTGTATGCAGCCTTGTATCTGAAAACCTCTAAAATTATTTCCAATATCCTTTTTATATTATTAAATTTAGAATATTAAATATTTAAAAATCATAATGGCACATAAAATGACAATGACAAATGAGAATGCCAAGAAATGAAATTGACAGACAATATAAATATCTTATATTTTGGTCATAGGATTAACTTTCCTCCCTCATAAATCTTAAACCACAGTTCAAACAAGTAATGAAATTGACTAGCTTGAATTTCATCCCTCCTAAGTTTGCAAATGAAGAACCACAACACTTTACCCATGACAAATGTTCACCACAAGGATGATGCTAGGAAGAGCAGCAATTCCAAGAAGGCAAACAGAGAGAGGAACAAACGATATAAACCATCCCAACTCTACAAATAATGCTTCCCACCCTACCACACCCACTATAATAATTAAATCATGTATTCCTTTCGGGAAGGAGAAGGGACAGAGGAGAGGTCAACCATTCCATGACCTCCCTTTAAGTTACACCAAAAGGTCTGTGAATCCAAAGACCTTGATCACTTCTCTTCAACAAACAGATGCTGTTATATGCAAGGCTTCCTTTATCCTAGCAGGGAAGTTGTTATGTTTTTAGTACTGGCTGAGGAAAAAAATAAGCCTTGAGAAAAACAGGCAATCAATTCCCTTTTAAAGGCATGGTCCCTTCCTCTCATAGATTTCAAAAACTTACTGGTGAAAAATGCTAAGAAAAAAAGTAGCTTTAATTGGGAAAATCAGAGAATTTTGAAGTTTCTTAATCTAGGAAAGTATGCCATCTTTTTAAAACTACACCCTCTTTTTTTCCGTAAGGAAATAACTAACCAGCCAATCTCTAGGACGTACATGAAGTTAGCTCAGAGTACAGTCGGCCCTTCACATCTGCCAGCTCCGCATCTGTGGATTCAACTAATCACAGAGCAAAAATGTTCAAAAAATAATAAAAGTAACAATACAACAATAAAAAATATATAAATTTTAAAAACACAGTATGACAACGATTTATATAGCATTGTATTAGGGTAATCTAATATAAGTAATCTAGAGGTGATTTGAAGTATAAGAGAGAATGTCCATATGCAAATACTATGCCATTTTATGTCAGGGACTTTAGCATCCACAGATTTTGGTATTCTCGAGGGTCCTGGGACCAATGCCCTTGACTGAGCGACAACTGTACAAATTTGATCATTTTTAGAATGCAAACCAATAAAGAAATGTGCAATTCTATTGAAAGAAATCTGTTTATATTTTTAAAAGCAACATAAGGTACCTCCAAGAATGTTCCAACAAGCCTAGAAGTCCCATCCAGTCACAAGCCGTATAATGATGCTTTGTTCAACAAGAGACCAAATACATGGTGATGGTTTCATTAGATGATAATGGAGCTGAAAAATTCCCATTGCTAAGTGACATCTTGATAATCCTAACCCTGTGTGGGCCTAGGCTAATGTGTGTGTTTCCATCTTTTTTTTTTGAGACGGAGTCTTGCTCTGTCACCAGGCTGGAGTGCAGTGGCATGATCTCGGCTGACTGCAACCTCTGACTCCCTGGTTCAAGCGATTCTCCTGCCTCAGCCTCCCAAGTAGCTGGAATTACAGGCATGTGCCACCACACCCAGTGAATTTTTGTATTTATAGTAGAGACAGGGTTTCGCTATGTTGGCCAGGATGGTCTCAAACTCCTGACCTCATGATCTGCCCACCTCAGCCTCCCAAAGTGCTGGTATTACAGGCATGAGCCACTGAGCCCGGCCTCCATCTTCATTTTTAAGAAAAAATTTTAAAAGGAAAAAATAATAACAATGTTTAAAACTAGAAAAAAGTTCACAGAATAAGGATATAAAAAAAGATGCTTCTACAGCTGTATGATGTGTTTGTGTTTTAAGCTACGTGTTATTACAAAAGAGTCAAAAAGTTAAAAAAAGTATACGTTTATAAAATGTAAAAGTTACAGTAAGGTTAATTATTGAGGAAACTTTTTTATAAATTTAGTGTAGTCTAAGTGTACAGGGTTTATAAAGTCTACAGTAGTGTACAGTAATGGCCTAAGCCTTCACATTCACTTGTCACTCACTCACTGACATCCAGAGTAACTTCCAATCCTGAAAGCTCCATTCATAGTAAATGCCCTATAAAGGTGTATGGCATTTTTTATCTTTTATACCATAGTTTCACTGTACTTTTTCTATGTTTAGATACACTAATAGGTACCACTGAGTTGCAACTGCCTACCATATTAGCTATAGTAACATGCTGTACCGGTTTTGTTACCTAGGAGCAATAGGCCCTGCCATATAGACTAGGAGTGTAGTAGGCTACACCATGTTGGTTTGTGTAAGTACACTCTATGATGTTCACACAACAACCAAATTGCCTAATGACACATTTCTCAGAACATATCCCTGTTAAGCAACACATGATTACACTTAACTACAGGGGCACCTGACCACTATCTAAACACAGTATGTCCTTCATAAAAATTCTTGCTTGACTTGCATGATTAAAACTAAAAGTAATCCAAGATATTGAAACATGGCTTTTCATATCCCTTTCGGTGACCAAACTCACTTTCACACATTCATGCATTTGACAGTTAGGAAGTAAAGTTGCATATCTGAGCTTTATAAAGTACAAGCAATTACATATTTCAAATGCCATACCATTTAATACATGCTGAATAAATCGGATTAAGAATAGATTAATATATAGCAGACAGAATCAATTACAGATGTGTATATACATGAGTTAGTACATACATATACATAATATACATATATTACTTAGCTCTGCCCATTGAGAGGGCCTAGAAGCAATGACACCCCAGTAGCAACAAGCATACCCAGCACCAGATCCTGGTCTCTCAATGCTATTCTCCAATAGGAGGAGCTCCTTGGAGAAATGGCTGATTCTAGAGCTTGGGCAGGAAAAGGAGTATCTTTAGAGCACCCAAAAGTAAGGAAGCCCTCAAATCTGCATTTTAACTCTTAATTATTCTATACTACAGGAGAATTTCTGTTAAGTAAAGGAAGAAAATCTTACTCTAGTAAATTTTCCATGTGTGAATAATGACTACTGTTACTTCCCTTCTTTGACTATAAAATATGCAACCCTTTATTCCCTAATCCAAAGGTGCAGAAAGTAAAGAGAGAACACATATAAAAGGCAAAAGTAGTTAGAGGTTAGTCACAAAATTAAATCATACCGTGCAAAATTCAAGCTTTTTACCAGTTCATCTAATATGCGGTTATTTTTCAGATCCGGCTCTGTGACAGTCTAGAAAAAACAGACGGAAAAAGGTCAAAAACAATAATCAACTTGTCATAATCTTGTTTTTGAAAATGTCTGACCCATCCTCCTGAGGTTCGCCATCCCACTAAGTCTTCTAAGGCAGCCTCAAAATAAAGTTCATTTATCTCATGCTAATATGAAATTTTAAAACAGTGAATCAGTATCTGCTGACTGGAAGTCTGATAAAAGCTCTCCAAAGCTTCTCTTATAATCATATATATTCTGTACTGACTACAATCAAACCTAATATAAGCAAGAATCTTTCTTCAAAATGCCAGTACTCAGCTTTCTCAAAAATTTCTCTGGAAAAACAGAAGAGAAATGTTCTTTTAAGTACTAACATTGGGAGAGGCATTAAGTGTTCAAGGAGAATTTTAAAATAAGAATGGTTTTCAGGAATGCAAGAGAAAAGTGATAAACCCAGTACTTATTTGGTATGAATGGTACACAGTTTATTTTAGTGATGAGACCATCTTGACAAAAGCAGTGTAACATATTGTAAACATCTTAGACTTGAGAGCCAAATCACAAAATTTCTTACATAGAGAAACAGTTTTGCAAGGTTCAGTGACACCCTGACACCACGTACCTACCAGAGAGGCAAAACTAACTAAACTCCTTACCTAGTCCTAGCGTCGGCTCTGTCAGACCTCACCTGTCTCTTCTTTATTCCCACTTATGTTTAATTACCCTTTTAGTCTGCTTTTCCACCTGTTCCCACTACCTGAAAAGTTTCAGAAACAATAACAACAAACTTCCTAGTGTTTTCCCTGAAGCTCTGGTAGGGGAAAGACCTAAGGGAACAGGTAGGCTGGATTAAGTCCAACGGCCATGCATATTTTTCTGCACAAATACTTAGACCAGTTCTTTGCAAATGAATAATCCTACCATCAGAGTTTCTACCAAAGTGAGAAATTATTAAAAATTAGAAGCCATAAAAACATGGGTCATAAGAATTAAAGAGCGCTACATCCTGAACTTAAAATTAGTTTTTACTTCCTAAAATACATTTAGGTTTTCAGAAATCTTAACAAAACACTGAACAAAGCCCAGCTCTTCTTACACGTACTTTAGAGGTCCTTTCCGAAAGTGTCTTTCATATAGCTTAATTCAGTAACTACACATCACCCTACATATACACAGGCTTTTATACATACACAAAGCAAAAATACTTGCAGTAGTCAGTAAGTTTTCAAAAAAGGAAACAAAAACTCACCACACAACAAGTTGGACACTGAGTTTTATAGGACAGAAATTTTCTTATACAGAGAGAGCAGTCTGCAAAACACAAAGTGCAACATAATGTTAACGAGGTTATACTAATACAGGAATATGACTTCTAACAAAATCTTAAGCCCTAGACTATTTCCATCATCTAAGGTATATCATCATAAGCTTAAATTTCTAGTACCTCTACTCTATGCACACTTATACATGTGATTAAACAGGATTTTAAGGAAAGGAAAACACAAATATTGTAAGTCCTTCCACAACTACACAAGCAACATACATCACTCTGTGTCCTCCATCTGCAAAATACAGGAAACACACGTGCAAGACTTGAGCTTGGTACTGTATAAACTTGCCAGGTATCTCTACTGCTTATCATTTGAAAATATAAATTTTGAAATAATATATATAAACATATTAAGAAAAAATATACACCCAGGTTATCAAATTAGGGACGTCTATATCTTAATTCTGTAAATAATATCCTCTGTCCCACATTTAACAAGTACTTTTGTGGCAGGCACTAAGAACAATATATATAATGGAAGGTTCTTGACCTCAAGGAGCTAATAAAATAGTGAAGCAATTACAGCATAATTCAGCATAATATAGCCTAACAATTTAAGCAGGAAATGGGCACAAACTAAATTCACAACACTCAAGGCAGTGTAAAATATTCTCCCGGTCAAAGAAAAAGCAGATGTGACTAACAGAATGGTACCTTACTAATTATCTAAGCTAATTTACTAGTAGCCCAAATTCAGCTGGATTCTGTTTAGTTGAGAAGACAGTATAATTTCAGTATACTGTATAAATTCAGGATTCTGTTTAGTTGAGGAGGAGACAATATAATTTCAATGGTACGGATATCCAGGAAATAAGCAAGTCTTGCCAGCCTAAGTAAGAGCACCCCACGAGGAAAAACAAAGAAATACATTATGAAAAGGATAAAACAGACAACAGGTTGAGTTCTTTTAGGAAGCAAAGACGAATACAGGGGACCGACTCGGCATGTAAGGGGCTTAGAAGTCACCACTCTGTCCTAACAACAAGTAAAAAGCTGAACAAACTGAAAAACCAACAACTTTTCTTAGATCCAGCAGAAAAGCAGGGTCACAGGGCAAACTGCTGCCCGCCGAAATGGGGAGAGACAGAGGTAATACAGAGAATCACAACTTACTGGAACAGAAACCCACAAACAGAAACCTCCATGGGAACCAGAGAAGAAACCTGTGCTGGAACCAGTGCTGGAGTGGGAGAACCTGAGCTGTAATTGACAAATTGCTGGCGGCTCAGTGCGGGCAAGTCTGAGCGTTAAAAATTCCAGGGAACCCTGTCATTGCAGAGGTGGGGAGGATGTCCTCATACTTTTGTGAGTTTCAGTTACAGGAGTTCTTCTAAGTTTTCACAGTGAATATTGGAGAAAAACCCCCTAGTCATTCCAGGAGTAGAAGGGTAAAAGTAACCATTTCTAAATAAGTCAGAGTAGTCTGTTTTTTTGTTTTTGTTTTTTTTCCCTTCGAGACAGAGTCTAATTCTGTCACCCAGGCTGGAGTACAGTGGCACAATCTCGGCTCAGTGCAACCTCCACCTCCTGGGTTCAAGTGATTCTCCTGCCTCAGCCTCCCAAGTAGCTGGGATTACAGGTGTGCGCCACCACACCCAGCTAATTTTTGTATTTTTAGTAGAGATGGGGTTTTGCCATATTGGCCAGGCTGGTCTCAAACTCCTGACCTCAGGTGATCGCCCACCTCGGTCTCCCAAAGGGCTGGGATTACAGGTGTGAGCCACTGCACTGGCCCAGAGTAGTGTGTTCTTAACAAAGCCCCCCCTCAGGAGAAACTATTTTACCAGAGCCTAATCTACTGGAGTTTTATCAGAGCCTAGCTGACTTTGGAAAAAGGAAATACACAACTGCAGCCCTCTAGACTGCAGACAGACAGCCCTCTATCCTGTCCCATCTAAGGAGGGGAAAACTGAGGAGCACTAGTGACATTCACAGTCCAGGGCAAAGTTCGCTAAAAGACCTAATCATAGGACTACAGAATGTGTCCCCTCTGCCCATACCTAAAGGCCTATTTACTGCAGTTCCTTTTACCCAGTACATCATTTCCAGTATTAAGAAAAAAATCACAAGGAAAAACACACAGTTTGAAGAAACTGAGCAAGCATCAGAACCAAAGTCAGATATACCAGAAATGGTTAAATTATCGGACCAGCAATTTTTAAAAATTATATGCTAAGGGCTCTAATGGAAAAAGTAGACAACATCAAGAACAGATCGGTAACATAAGCAGAGAGGTGGAAATTCTAAGGAAGCATCAAAAAGGAATGCTAGTGATCAAAAGAACCACTATAACAGAATGCCTTTGATAGGTTCATTAATACATTGAACACAGCTGAGGAAAGAATCTCTGCGCTTTAGGACATGTCAATGGAAACCTCCAAAACTGAAAAGCAAAGAGAAAAGACAGGAAAAATGGAATAGAATATCCAAGAACTGTAAAATAACTACAAAAGATGTAACATACACATAATGGGAATACCAGAAAGAGAAGAATGAAAGGAACAGAAGAAATAGTAATGGCTAATAATTTATCCAAATTAACGTTAAACACTAAACTACTCATCCTGGAAGATCGGAGAACACTAAGCAGGATAAACGCAAAAACAAAACAAATAGACACCTCAGCCAATCAAATTGAAACTACATAGAATCAAAGATAAAGAAGAAATCTTGAAAGAAGCTGTAGTGGGGGCCTTACCTACAGAGGAGCAAAGAATGACACTTGACTTCTCACAAACCACACAGAGAGTGCAGTGAAATATTTAGTGTTGAGAGAAAAACATCACCAACCTAAAACTATATCCTGAGAAATTATCCCTCAAAAGTCAAAGAGAAATAAGGACTTTCTCAGACAAATACAAATTGAAGCAATCTGTTTTCAGTAGACTTCCCTTGCAAGAAATGCTAAAAGAAATTCTTCAGAGAGGAGGAAAATAATTTAGGTCAGAAACTCCAATCTACATAAAGAAAGGAAGAGTACTGGAGAAGGAATATGTGAAACTGTAATAAAAACTTTTTCTTGTTAATTTAACAGATAACAGTTTGTACAAAAATAATAACAAAGTATTCAATTATGGATGCTTATTACATATACATATATAAAAATGCATGCTTATGAATGCTTATGCATAAGTGAAATGAATGACAGCAATGGTACAAAAGACTAGAGGAAAGAATTTCTTAGCTCGAGCTGCCATAACAAAATACCACAGACTGGGTAGCTTAAACAACAGAAATTGTTTTCTCATGGTTCTGGAGGCTAAAAGTCCAAGATCAAGGTGCCAATATGGTCAGTTTATGTTGCAAGCTGTCTTTCTGGTCTATAGACAACCACCTTCTCACTGCGTCCTCCCACGAGGGCGTGGGGAGAGTCCATAAGCTCTGGTATCTCTTCTCATACGGACACTAATCCCATCACTAGAGCTCCACTTTCATGACCTAATTTAAACCTAATTATCTCCCCAAGGCCTCATCTTCAAACACCAACACATTGGGGTTGGGGCTTCGACATAGGACTTTAGGGGGGGATAAAATTCACTCCATAGCATTCCACCTTTAACCTCCCAAATTCATGTTCTTCTCAAATGCAAAATACATCCATACCATCTCAACAGCCCCCAAAGTTTCAACTTATTCCAGTACCAACTCTAAAGTTTAAAATCTAAAGTCTCATCTAAATATCACCTAAATCAGATATGGATGAGACTCAAGGTATGAATCATCCTGAGGCAAAAATTCCTGTCCAGACTCATTCTCTTAATTACCAATGCTATTCTCTTTATACTAAAAGAGTCTCCTGAGCAATACTGTAAGTCAAGAAATCCTAAAACCTGGCTGCTCAGCTCAGTCACCTAGGGAGATTCATGTTAGTTTTAACTTAGTTTCCCAGACTCTACCCCCAGTCACAGTGATTCAGTGGATTTTGGTCAGTAAATCACATCCTTAATATGTGATATTGATTCAACAACAACAATTTTTTAAAAATTAATAAGTTGTTACTATTAAGTTGAATTATATGAAACTGACATTTTTGGTTAAGTCAAAAATGGACAAATATTGCAATTTCATGTGGTTCAAACAAACACTGCACTTAGTATGTGCTCCGTTCTAAGCACTTTACATGTATTAACTAGTTTGATCCTTACAGCAACCCTGAGGTTGGTACCAATATTAGTCACATTTGACAAGAAGGAAAAATGAAGCACAGGGCTCAGCCAACTTGCCAAAGATAACGGAACTAATATGTGGCAAAGGCAAGCACCACAGTCCATACTCTTAATATATTTTTTAATATACTTTTTTAATATACTTTTTAAAAATATACTTTTAATATATATTTTTAATATACAGTTCATACTCTTAATATGTTTACTTAAAATTACAGATGCTCCTTGACTTAACATGGGATTACATCCCAATAAACCCATCATAAATTGAAAATATCATAAGCCAAAATGTATTTAATATACCTATCTCTAACCTGGGAAAAGATTAAAATTCAAAATTCAAAGTATGGTTTCTATTGAATGTGTATCACTTTCACACCATCGTAAAGTTGAAAAATCCTAAGTCAAATCATCGTTAAGTCAGGGACTGACTATATCTATAAATATTTGTTTATAATAAATATATACTGTACGTTTACACTATAAATAATGTATATGTATATAAATATGTACTATGTATAGTTATACTTATACAACATATTGTGTATATATATTATATATACATGTTACTATTGTACCTATATATAGTATAAGTATATTATATATTATGTATACTTATATCAATTAAATAATATTTAATTAATAAGGTCACATGTGCCTTTTAAATTAATTTTTATAATAAGGCTGCTGCTTTCTCTTCTGCATAATCTTGTATATGTTTCCTTTCCTTTCCTTTTCTTTTGAAATGCAGAGAATCAGATATGGAGTCCTGAGTAGATCAAGCCCTAGGCTTAATTTCAGTCTACTAGACTACT